ATATATATATATATATATATATATATATATATATATATATATATATATATATATATATATATATACACATAGATATCGTATTGTATAATATTTACTTAACGTAAGACTGACTGTGACTCAGTAGGAAGAAAAGTAGCCGTCAGGGAAGTTGGTTGTGGGTTTGATTCCCACTATATTTTGCCCAATACTGTTGTGCTTCTTGGCCAGCTTTTGTTTATCTTGTAGAAATCAAGGTTTGTGCTTTTGGAGACAGATAACTCAGGAAATAATAGAAATCATATAGAAAAAGAATAAATGACTGAAAGCTACACTGAGCTTATTTAATCACTGGCTGGTTTCTGCCAACAAGCCAGTTGGCTAGCAAATTAATGTTACTGTAATTTTACTTTGATTCTGTTTTTTATTACAGTGTATTTTGTAGATCCACAGTAACACATCGTCAACATATTTTGCACAACAGATTGCTTTACATGCAGTAATTTGCTGTAGAAACCATTGATTCTGCATTGGCAGAAACAAGAAAAATAGATTGCATTTAATTGTTAGGTTAATTTAATAAAAATGAACATTAGATGGATGGATTTGCCCTCAGCTTCTTGAAAAATATATTAGAATGACCCTGACCTAGAGGGTCTGACCAGCTGGTCAAGTGTCTGAAAAATGTGTCTAGATTTTGGCTTCACTTCTCTGCACAGCATGTTTTGGTATTACCCTCATTTCACTGGCCATTTTTCCTGGTAAATATCCAAAACTAAGGTGCATGCATGGTTGATGTAACAGTTTGAATTGGGGTCTGGAACAGAAGCAGATCTGCATGACACTTGAAGTACACTTAAGTGAATACATCACTGAATGAATAGGTGGATGAAAATGAATTAATCAAATCAATTTGGCTTTTCTAATTAACTAGGTTAAAACCTCTGGAGTTTTTTTTACATTTAACATACATATTTTAGTGCAGTAATTCAAAACATCTATCCATCTTCTTCTGTTATCAGTCAGGGCCACGGTGGGGCTGGAGTGTATCTCCTGGTGTTTGTGAGCAAAAGGACACCAGTCTATGAAAGAACATAGAAATACAACTATCCACACACACACTTAGTACACAAACTTCAGAGTGGCACCTTCTTTGTCTCAAACTCTATTCCTCTATCAGAGGCCTGGGAGCTTGGGGGTTCTTCACAGTATCTTAACCATGTCCCTATGGTTCCATATCATGTTTAAAACAAATATACCAAAATGGCTAAATTAAATTAAAAAAATGACAATTACATGTTCTAGTGGCAAATTACAAGTGAGTTTATTTGATAATGCGCAATTCTGGTCAGTTAGAATTGTCTTGATTATATAATATTTTCTAAGCACAGTTACAATTCAATATTTTAATATCCACATCAGGTTTCTAATTGATCAACTTTTCTATCGACTGAACTTTTTTTGTCTTTGCAATTACATCACAATTTTGGGGGGAAAAAAATAATAACAGCTGGACTGTTTGGTCAATGTATTTTAGAAGAAATTGTTTGCATCTCTATTGTTTTTTTTTTTTTCCTTTATGGTATGGCATTATGACACAGTGGATTCCACATATTCTAATTCATGATATCTGTCGTCTATAATTATGACTGAGCCCTTTTCTCATATTTCAGAGCTTAAATCTGTATTTAATGAAAGTAGTTTTATTAAGGAGAAAAGTGTTTATCCTTTATTTCTCATAAAGAAGCTGCTATCTCAATCAACAACACCACAAGCTTGACCACCTTTATTTCATTTTGGATTGACTTTATTTAAAATATTCCAGATGAAATATATAAACAAGGCCATATAAACTATATAATGTGTTTCTCCAAGCTATTTTATCCCATGTTCTAAAGAAAACAGTTTATGTGCTTTAATTAAATACATTAATTTATCTCACCTCCCCATTCCTTTACAGACAGACAAACATCAATTATCCCTGTTAGAATGCTGCAGCTTAAAACAAAAATGTCCAGATTCCTCTTGGTTTTATGTAACACTACAGCAAAAGAGAGAGTATAATCTGTTTTTGTTGTGTGAGAAGGATAAAACTGAGATTAAGCACATTTGAAAGAATATTTTTCATTCCTCCTTCTGTTTACATAAAATCATTTTTTGCCACAGTCAGGCACGCTATGCAGCCCTTTTTTTTTCTTCTTTATTTTTATTTTTTTGTTTTTTTGCAACACGCACTGCACGGACATTGGACTGGGCTGTTGCTATAAGGTGGAGCAAGCAAACATGACAGTAGAGGACATGATAACAGTTGGCAGGTCCTGGATAATAAAGATGTCTTTCTGAAAATTTCTGGCAGTCAAAGTTGTTTTATGGAGTGCATTTATGATTCATCTGGTTCATGAAGAGCAGAGTAACGGCTGTGGAAGTGAGCCCTCTAAAGGTTGGATCAAGACAACAAAAGGGAAAGAAGTAAATAGTGAGAGGCTGCAATCACTTACTGTTTTAGGGTATCAGATATCAGTGCTCTGAAATACAAAATGACTTGTTTTCACCATGTAGGCTTGTACAGAGACATGCTGTGCATTTCACTGATTAGGATTCAGTTAAATAACAGAATAATGGATAAACAAAAAGATGAATTATCACACTGCTGACTGATCTGCATCCTTTTCCAGTTAAACATGGTGAAATTTACATCAGAGTGCCGCATATCGTGTCTTATCTGTGACCGTCAGATAATCTTCAGTTGTTCACTTTTTTAAAGAAAACCTGTTTCCTTTAAATGATGGTATAAATGCAGTGCATCTAGCTTGAGCTTTAATATTTAAATTTACTAATGAGGAGAATTAGGCTAATGAAGAGTTGTATCCAATATCAACAGACCTTAGATTTAATTAATTAATTAGTTTCAACAAAATCTATGAAATAAAGTGAACGTGTTTTATTCGCTCACATTATTTACCATCTCTGCAAGACTTTGAGGTTTATTAATAAGATATTATTTGTTACATTTCAGCATTCAAACTAATTTAGAACTAAATTTTGAAAAATATATTACACCAAGGGAAGGAGTAGCTTTGTTTACTGACATGTGCTAAACCATTTAAACACCAGTGGGGGTTAATGCCTAACTTGGCCTCTGGAATTAAACAGCAGGAGCAAATTGGTTTTCTCCAGACACTATTTGCCCTTACAGCGTCCATACCAAGAATTAATCATAACCCTACAGTAAATAAGCAATCAAAGACTCCCCTTAAGTTATCACTGCGCCCTTTTACTGGGTAGTTGGTGCAACCGTGTGCTGAGTAGATGCCCCTGCTTGCCGCTCAGAATAGAAAGATCATGATGTTTGCTTTTAACCAGACTGTGCACGTGGGGTGAGGCTTAAGTTATCCTGTGACATCTTTGCTGCTTTTAGCTAGGGTGTCCTTAGGTTTCCCAATAGTAATACCTAAAGAAATCACGCTCTTTTTGTAGATGTTTCTGTTGTGTTGGTAGGAGTAAGTGAGCCGCGGAATTAGGGGCTTAATGCCCTGGTAATATTCAGATAAGAGCAGCTATAACCAATAAACAGGAAAGGGCTATAGGGATAACCACTTATCATAAAAACTGACAGTATGATTTTAATGGCAACTTTTGCTTTTTGAAATTTTTCTTGGATATTTGCAATTATTACATTCTTTTTATCCAATCCACTCTATTTCTACAGCACATTTAAATAATGTGGTATGTTTCAAATAGCTGCACAAATTAAGATGATAAAACAAGTTACAATGAAGTACACATATTCTACCATATTCTATCTACTAAAGTGCAAATACTTAAAAGTAAATATATATTTTTATTTGTGCAATTTCACTGTTGAATGTAACTATTGCTCTAGAGTGGCCTAACTAATAAGGGATATGTTTTATTTTTAGGGCTGTGTTTGTTTTTGTGACTCTTTGGCTGACACATATGTTGTCTAAAAGCCTGTTTAATGTTTTTTGTTGATGTTTTAAAGCCATACTGCGCCAAATCCCAATGACATAGCAACCCTATGATGACCAAACATCAAAGCAGATTCTACTTTTTAGCAATAACAGCAAGGTATATTTTAAGCAAAATTCTTTAGCTATGGACAGAGTTCAAATATGCAATCAAGCATATGTAGACCAGGATTCTTTGGAAAACCAACGAACAAACGTACTGGACACACATACTACAAAACTTACTTGCCTAAGTTAGTTATCAAATGTTAAAAGCATATTTTTAAAAAGAGGAACAGCATTTTTAAAGAAATTCACAGGGTATACAGTGGTAAGACTCCTAACAAGGGAATGTTCAGGCTTAACTTAAGTTGAGTAAATCTTGGCTTTGTTGAAACAAATCTTTCCTGATACCTTCTGACTGCACTTCATTCTGCAAATGTTTGCTTTAGGATGAAAATAATGGGTCCGGGAGCGTTCCTTTACTTTTTTCCATCTTGAAACCATTCATGGAATGTTATCTACGATTCCTTTCCTGCTTTCCAACTCACTATGATTTGCATTAGCTGCAAAAACATGCTGCATTTGAAAGCATTTTCTAGCTTCTGTCTTATATTATGAC